TATTATAGCCATCTGCTGAGAGAGAGAGAGAGAGAGAGGGAGAGAGAGAGAGAGAGAGAGAGAGAGAGAGATTGATTCCAGCTGACTGGGCTGGATGGCAATATCGATGACGGGCGGCAGTGCTTGTAGATGTCCATTCCACGGGGGTAGCGCGGCGGCGGGCGGCGTGGTTGCTGAAGTGGCCGCCGGCGGACGCCCGCTCCGCTCGGCCACCGAGGTGGAGAGCACCGTTGGTAATAATACGCCGACGACGTTTCTTGCCCGCCTCCTATCTTCCTCTCTGTCCTTGTCTTCCTCGTCGCCCTCCTCGTGCTTTCGCTCTGTGCTGTCCACTCCAAACTTTGCGCTGGAATGCGACCAACGGTCAAATTGGCGGTGCCGGTGTAGGTGTGGTGTGTGGTGTGGTCGGGGGTGGTGGCTGCCTGCGCTGCCTGCCCCCGGGGGTAGATGGAGAGAGTTTAGGAGGTGGGAGAGAGAGAGAGAGAGAGAGAGAGAGAGAGAGAGAGAGAGAGAGAGAGAGAGAGATCGTATCATTTTCAGGGGGCGGCGCGGCGCGACGCTCGATCCACGCCCCAGTCCACCGCACCGTCCACCGCACAGCTGCGTAACCATTCTCCAGCCCTAAATTCCCAGAGTCATCCCCACTACCAACCAGCACGCCTTTGCCGCTGCCGCCTCCCCTTTCCACTAGCTCCCCTCTCCATATCCTCCTCTCTCTTCCTGCTCACACTGTTAAAGTCTTACGAAGAAAAATGCCAAATCCTTTGTAATACGAAGGATTTGGACGCTTCGTAAGGAGAAAATCCTTCGTAGGTACGAAGCATTTGGCATTTTGCTTCGTAAGACTTTAACTGTGCACTCTGCAATTGAAAAAGTATTCCTCCTTACTTTGAAAATCTAAGGGTAAATACCACGTGTAATTTTTTTTTCTTGAAACTGCCGGATTTTAGTTGAATTAAGACAGCCAAACAGTTGATTTACGCCTTAGAATGTAGCCAGCCAAACAGTTGATTCGATGAGTTTAGCCTATCAAACAGAGTTGGAATATTTCACTCCGTGGGATATGTATGCTTTTGTTATTGTCTCATTTTCGAGAGAGAGAAAGAGAGAGATTTCATTTTATTTTATTAGGTTTAAGGAGGCACAAAAGGACTATTGAGTCGTACGAGTACCATGAGTACATTACATTGATTTAAGCCCAATTCACTGAAAAAATATTCTTAAATTTAAGAGCAAATTTGTTTTGTAAACTGCTTCAAAACATGTGTTATTAAAATTAAGATGGATTTTTTTTACAGTGAATTACAAATCACAGAAAAACTGGCGTTGGTAACACTACAAAAAGTTAAGAAAAATAAGTGATTTAGTCGAAATTAAGATGCTTAAGTGTGGTGCTGTACAAATAGTAAGTGATTTTTGAGTTTTGTTTTAAAGGACGGAAGTTTGGTATAAATGTGCAGAGCACAGGGTAAAGTGTTACACTTAACTGCGTGAGCCCAAAAGGCTCCTTTTAGAGAGAGAGAGGGAG